GCTCCTCTGATGCTGCTTGGCCTGCTGTGTTCATCCAGCTCTGCACCTTGTTATCTCAGATTCTCCAGCATCTGTAGTTCCTACTATCTCTGAAGCAGGAATGGACTATTTGGTTCATTGAGTCTGCTGTGCCATTCAATATGATCATGGCTGATCCTCTATCTCAACGCCCTACTCCTGCTGTCTACACATATCCTTTTATATTTTTAGTGTCTCCCATTTATTTCTTTTTTAACTATATTCAGTGACTTGTCTCCACAGCCTTATGTGGAAGAGAATTTTGCCACTCTTTGAGCGAAGAAGGTTCTCCTCATCTCAATCCTATATGGCCTATCTTAATGTTGTTTAATGCTTTACAATGAGTTACAGTCAAATGTTTACCATTGTTATCCTCTAAAGTTGTACTTTTTACAATAAAATATTTTTACGTATATGGATCCCTTATGCAGTCTTTCTTTCCAGTTAGTAATGCTGTGTAGACTGGAATGGCACACAAGAACATGAGGAAGAATCAATGATGATGAATGCTTACCCTTCTTTTCTTTTAATATGTCAATTTTCCCTTCCGATTTATGTTGAACTCCCTAATATTTTCTCAAATCCTGCCGGCAGTGTATTTTTTATATATTACACAGTATATGTAGAGTGTATTTTCTCATACTATTCCAATTATTTATGATCATTGGAATAAAGACATTTTTACTAAAACTTGTATTAAATTAGCAATTCTTTCAAACAAATTAATATAATGAATCTAAATTGATGTATTTTCCTAAGTGTACCAAAATGTATAATTAATTAGTTACATAGACCTCAATATTAACTTGGAACATGTGTTGGAAATGCATCTGGTATTGTGTGGGAAGCCCAGAAGGAAGTTTAGCATACCAGTCAGATACTTTTTATGTCAGCCAGGTCATTAGCACTTATTAGGTATTCCGTTAACTAGAGCAGGCGTGATGAGCACCTGAATGAAGTGATCTTAACTCCAGTTATTTTTTAATTCATTCATGGAATGTGGGTGTCACTGGCTGGGCCAGAATTCATTGCTCATCCCCAGCTGACCTTGAGAAGGTGGTGGTGAGTTACTTTCTTGAACCGCTCTAGTCCATGTGCTGTAGGTAGACCAACAGTGTGTTAGGAAGGGTGCTGCAGAATTTTGATCCAGTGACACTGAAGGAATGATGAAAAATTTCCAAATCAGGGTGGTGGGGAACTTGGATCTGATGGTGTCCTCATATATCTACCCGCCCCTTGTCCTTCTAGATGGTTGTGGTCATGGGACATGAGGTACTGACCAGAGATCCTTAGTGAATTTCAAAGGCTCGAGATAGAGAGAGAATTTCAAAGATTGAATCAGCAGATGTGAAAAGTTAAAATTTGGATTCCGGATGAGCCAATGTTGCATTGCAATTCGCCAATGCCTTACTTGATTGGCCTCTGGGGCCAGCTAAGAGTTACTTCACCACAGTAACTACTTCAGTAGTTACTTAATGCTCTTCATCAGAAAAGGGAGAAAGAAACTGACAGCTGATACCGAAAAGTTATGGATGTGGGTATCCCAGGAAGGTAAAGAATGTAGTGTGATGCTTGTGGAGTCAGTGCAGACAGTGCTATAAGGACGTAACCAGGTCAAGAGATAAAATGTTGTTGTGTATTTTCCCACATGCTTCTGTATGTCTCACCTCACCCCCTCACTCTGGCTACTCTTAACACATCACTACTCACACCCACTTACCCTATAAGTAAGACCACTCTTCTTTTTCTATGCACTAGTACGTCCCCATTTGTCCGTCAGCATACCATTCATCCTGATCTTTATTAAATTTGATTCTTATCCCTGATAGTCACCCTCAGCAAAAGCTTCGCATCCACTAGATGAACATATAGCATTGCAGTCACTCATTAGACTGTTCTTTCCATAGTTGCAGGAGAAGAAAGTATGAAACATTAGAGAGAGGGAGCGAGCATGAGGTAGCTCTTCACAGATTTCCCAGCTGACAGCGTCAAATGTGGAGCTGCTGGAGATCAGTGGAGTTACACAGTTCCTGACTTTGGAGATGCATACGTCCAGCTATCTGGTAGTGCAATTAAAAATCCACACAGTAGACAGTCATGTTGACTTAATTTTAACAGGAAGTGAAATATGGTCATTTTAATGATTATCTGCAAAATAGTTTACCTTGCCACTGCAAATTAATATGTTTTATCTCTAACAGGGCATTCACACAAGCAGCAGCAGTTTTGTAAGTCACAAATGACAATTCGTCAGAGGACCTTATCCTTCTGATATTGCACTATCATAGGACTCATGCATAATATGCATCAGCTCAGGAATTCACACTTCAGTAGGACCAGTTAGACAGAAGGGTTTTTGCCTGACAATGTTACCTTAGAAATGAACAAGAACAACTTATGGTAGTGCTGCAGGATCTGCATTGGAGACTTTGTCCAAGCTTTGTTCAGATAGATGCAGATGTAGTCCTTTGGGCTGTTAGAGAAGAAAACCATTCAGCAGCTGTTGACAGGTGTCATCAATACTCTTTGAAGTGGGCATCCCTTGTCTTCAAGCAGCTTTTTGTTAAAATCTACTTGTTGATCCAAAGAAAACAGGAAACCTAAACTGCTCCTAAACACAGAAGCATCTTGACAGCCTTCAATAAGACTGTAATATATCAGAGCAAAACATAGGCCATTCAGCCAATCAAGTCTTCTCTGTCATTCAATCATGGCTGACACGTTCCCTCAAATTTTTTGTGCACCTGCATAACTTTTTTTGTGGTTGCACACTAGCTGCATATTAGTAAAGTGAAAGTGATTGATGAATACTCCTGTTTTATCTGGTGTTCTGAGTGCTGCTGTGAGAAGTCAGCCAGAGATGCAAGCATGAGTGTCCATTCATTCTGAATTTGCTGGCTCTGTTTTGCCATTATGGACATAAGATTATGATTGCTGGATATGATTTTCTAAGATCTATAGAAGATTTCAAAAGCTAAAATATTGTTGCAGTGGCCTTTGACAGTCATTGGTAATGATGGTCATGAGGTCTAGCAGGCAGCAGGTCTTCTCCTCAGAGGCTGCAGTTGGCAATCACTATCTGATGTTACAGCTTGAATCTGCTAAATTGTAGCAGTTTGGGCATTTGAAAGACAGTCACATTGATATAAAACTTGAAGGATCATCAATGTGAAACTTTAACTGTTTCTCTCTAGATGCTGTCTGACCTGCTGAGTATTACATTGTATGTTCTGTTTCTTTTTCACATTTGCGGAATCGGCAGAAATTTGCATTTTAATCTCAAGCTCTGCATGTATACCTAAAGTCATGGGTAGTTCCTCCTCTGAGCTATATTCCTCTAGGGTGCTGCCCTACTTTTGCTTCCCTTTGGATGTTGTATTAAATGTGAATATGAATTAAAACATTGCTCCAATTGAGTGATTAATGTATGATTGCTATAATTCCTCACTCAGGAGTTACAATGAAGAAACAGGCCACAAAACCCTAATTATCAAAATAAATATTTATGCTACACGTGAATCTCTTCCCATCTCTCCTTATCTGACCTAACAGCATATCCTTGTATTTCTTTCTGCCTCATATGCTTCTCTAGCTTTTAATTACTTACATCTATGCTATTTCCCTCAATAGACCTTGCTCTACACATTGGGGTTGGATTTGCATTTTTAAGGTGGGTTGTCACTGTCTCTTGTCTATTTTCATCTTTTGGAAGTAGACAAGATTTGGAGATTGGCCTGCCACTTCTCAAAATAGCCTGAGATAGCAGTAGAAGTGGACAACTGCGCATTCAGGCTGGTTAGATGGCCTACTTCTGTCCATTGAAAAATTGGCCCAATTCTCAATATGATTGTTAGTCCTTCAAGCCTTCAGCTCCCTCTGTTCCTCCCTAAATGTTCTAAGTGTCCTCTATATCATTCATGCATCCTCCACTAACACTCACCCAGCTAGAGAACTCATGCGCTATATACTCTCACCATTAAGTCTTTGAATTGCACATTAAATAACATAAAATCAGACATTCGACATGCCTTTGAAATGAATTGCTCTTACAATCTCATAAAACTGTCAATCAAATATAACCAGGAGAGGAAACTTTTATCCACTAACCCTTGAATCTTATTCAACATGTAGGCATCAAAAATCCACTTCAAAGATAGGTACAATTACTGTATTACAGTCCCATAAAACATGTATGCAGCTGTCAATTGCAAGAAGTTTGCAGAACAGAAACGTTATACATCAGTCAGTTTACAACACTGACTTGACTCCAGTGTTGCCATCTTGGCGCTCCAAGGTCCACCTAGCATCCTCTAAACATCTTGTAGCTGAATGCAGTTTAAGCATAATAACGGACCCAAACTGACACCAACTTACTAACACTATCTAAATAAATCATCAACTACTTAAGGTTAATTACTCATTGATTTATTTTGGCATTTGACAAAACTCTGTACATGCTTGGTTTGATATTGCAAAAACTTATAGGACAAGCAGTAAAAATGGATTTGTAGCCTTCCTAATGTGCAGCATGAAGTATGGATCATTCTGATGTTTTGTGGCTAGATTTAGACTTTTGTAGGTAAACTTATAGTGAAGTTGCCTAAAAAGCAAAAACAGAGAATTTCAGTTCCATTAAACACGTCAGCTCAACTAGAAGGCAATTAAACTGCCTATTAATTTTTGATTCCAGGTCAGAAGAACCCATTAAGAAGTAAAATGATCCATTTTATTCCATTCTTTGAGTTTTTGTTGCATATGTGTAGTGTGAGGGCTGTCATGGCACAGTAATAGTGTCCCTGCCTCGAGTCCCAGGTTCAAGTCCCATCTGCTCCAGGGGTGTGTAATAACATCTCTCTTAACAGGTTAATTAGAAAATAGGTTAAATAAATATGTATTAGTAGTGTTACATTTTAAATTGTGACAGAGAAAAAGAAGGAGAAATTGTATTGGTTTATTGCGTTGTTTTGTTTTCTGATCCTCTCACTGTAGATGATGTTGTTGTCCATGAACTTGCTACACTGTGCCTATCTTCCATATCTATTGATTTCACGAGTAAAGTGGAAATTTATGAGAAAGGTGGGCTGGGACCACTAATTCAACTTCTTTCAAGCCCTGACCCTGATGTTCAAAAGAATTCCATTGAGTGTATTTCAAATTTAGTCAAGGTAAGAATTATTTTTCTTCAATAATGGTTCAATTAGTGCTGTATTAATTCAACAAATATAATTGATGTGTGAAACCATTTAAAAAAGTTTAGAATGCATGGGAATTGGTATTATGATTTTTTAAAAATAAACCATTGGAGCAGGTATAGAGCATTCGGCCCATCAAATCTACTTTACCATTCAATGAGATCATGGTTGATCTAATTATCAACTTCACTTTTCTGCTTTATCCCATAACCTTGACTCCAAATCAAATTCCAAACAAACCAATCCATATTTATTCAGTTTACGAGTCCTCTGGGATTGACTTGGGAGGTAGGGAAGTGGGGCCATGAAATAACAAGGTATGGCAGTGATGAAAACTGAAATTGCTGGGAAAACCCAACAAGTCTGGCAGCAACTGTGAAGTGAAAGCAGAGTTAATGTTTCTGGTCCAGTGACCCTTCTTCAGATCTGAAGAAGACCTTTCTGAAGAAGGTCACTAGACCCAAAATATTACTGCTTTCTTTCCACAAGTGCTGCCAGACATGGTGAGTTTTCCCAGCAATTTCTGTTTGTGTTTCTGATTTCCAGCAGCTATGGTTCTTTGATTTTATTTTAAGGTATGGGAGTTTGTGGAGTGCCTATTGTCTTCCCACTGTCATGCGATCTTACCAGTTGGAGGGTAGGTAGAAAAAAGTCATTCACCCTCCCAACTCCAAACCCCAAATGAGCCACTTAAGTGACCAATTAAGGACCTCTTCCTGCCTTCACCAGTGGTATAGAAGGCAAATTGTTGTGTGGTGGGATTGTTGTGATTGGCAGGACTGATGTAAGATGTGAGATTGAATGGGTTAGGACTAAATTCACTCGAGTTTAGAAGAATATGGGCGGGGGATTTCATAGAAACCTATAAAATTCTAACAGGGTAAATGCAGGAAGGATGTTTCCAATGAATGGGGAGTACAGACCAAAGGTCACAGTTTAAGGATATAGGATAGGTCATTTAGGACTGAGATGAGGAGAAATTTCTTCACCCAGAGAGTGGTGAGCCTGTGAAATTCTCTGCCATAGAATGTGATTGAGGTGAAAATATTGAATATTTTCAGGAAGCAGTCAGATATAGATCATGGGCCTAAAGTGATCAAAAAGTATGGGGAGAAAGCAGGTACAGGATACTGAGTTGGATGTCAGCCATGATCATATTGAATGGCGGAGCAGACTCAAAGGGCTGAATGGCCTACTCTTTCTCCTATTTTCTATATCTCTATGCAGCACAGTAGGTTTTATTGTGAAAGCTAATGTCCAGTGAAAGGGAGTGGGGTTCTGTGTTTCTGCACTGAGCTCCCGGTGCAAATTGGAGGCTTCTCACAAATTCACAGTTTCCCTTCCCACATAACAAGGAATAGTGGATAGGGAGTAACTGTTTCTATTGATGGAAGGATAGAGAACGTAGGGCAGAGATTTAAGGTGATTGACAAAAGAAGGAATAGCAACATGAGGAAAAACCCTTTTAAGCAATGTGGTTGCAGAAATGAGTTGCCTGAACGTGCTTAGGAGGCTGTTTCAATTGTGACATTCAAAGTGAATTGGATCATTACATGAAAAGAAAATAATTGCAAGATTGGCAAAAATGCAGGGGAATGGTGTTATGAATTAATAACTTGCATCTCACGCAAAGACCATCAACTTTTTATTATATAACTCTGCAAACACCTCTCAAGGCTAGCATTAACACGACTAGTTATTGCAAGAGTGCCCATGCAATATAAGACAACAGGCTACCATTAGAGACAGAAGAATTCATCTCCGCATCTGCATCCAGGTCCTCTGTAGCAGCCCTTGCCGGGGCCACACAAACAGCTAGCCCAGACTACATCAGTCTAAAGCTTAGGCCCAGAGTTTGTCCTGCAAGGTCACATGAGAAAACTAGCAACAATAGGCAATAGAGAGTGATCAGTCACTTTCTTGTCATTGCTAAAAAAATCTGTTTGCTAAGGTTTTTTTGGTTTGAGTTTGCTCTTGATCTTTGTCTTTATAGCAAAGTGGATCAAGACCTATTCGTTTGGAATGAACCGAGTCAGATTGTGATAAATGTCATGGGATTGTCAGTGAATAGGAAATGGAAGGGTGTACTTAGTCAAAGTGCTCTTGTCTCAGGACTATGGAAAATGCTCCCGTTACCTTTCCTCTAAATATCAGAACACAATGTCTAATTGTCCCAGTATATCTGTGTTGGCTTATCAAATTGTAGGAAGTTCACTTTAAGAACTGCCTAACTCTCCTTCCAACTCACTCTTATTGTCTCTGTCAGCATCCACTACTCTTAACTCCTGAAATACTTGTTCCTCCTTATCCTCTTCCCAGCGATGAAATGGGCTCAACATGTTTATGTGAAATAGCCTATTCTTCTTCCTATGATCAGAAATATCTATTAGGTAAGTCACCTTTCTGATCTTCTTAACTACCTTATATGGACCACTGAATTTTGCTTTTGGGGGTTTACTTTGCAACTGCAGTGATACCAATGCTTCATCTCTTACTTGAAAAGTTCAAGTTATAGAATGTTTATGTGCCGTTTATTACATTTTTACTTCTCAAATCCTACGTGGTCCTGTGAGTCTTTCTAGAAATGTGGCCACGTAATCCAATAGTGGTGATTTTTCTTCTTGGTTCAAAAACTTCTCCTTAATCTATTTTAATGGACCTCTGATCTCGTGACCATAAATTAATTAAAATAGACTAAATACGGTAGATTTATTTGGGGAATCTCTGGAATTAAGTAGTATGAAGTCTAATCCTTTAACCCAATCCTGTGGGTATTCATGATTTCATGCCTTAATCATGATTTTGAGAGTGTGACGGTATCTATCCAAAGCTCCCCATATTTTGAGATGATACACTGTTGACTTTATTTGTTTTATATCCAAATTACTGATGATAACCTGGAAAGCTTTAGACTTTAATGTCGTACCCTGATCAGATTGTATGTCAATTGGTAGTCCGTAGTGAGGAAACAAAGATGAGGTAACGTTTCTATTTCTGCCTTAGCTGTAATGGTCCTTAAAAGAGTAGCACCTGGAAATTGTATTATCATATCCATAATTCTAAAGATATACTAATGTCCTGTTGTTGTTTTTGGTAATGATCCTATAGAATCTACTGTAACCCAATTAAGTGGTTCTTCAGAAAAGTGGTATACGTATTAAAGATTCTGATTTGTTGCATGTTGAGGTTTTCCTACTATTTGATGTGTATGACACAATTTACAGAACTATGCAATGTCTTTATGATGTCTTGGACATGTAAAATACCTGTATAACGATGCTTGTGTCTTCTGTTTTTTTTGTTCTGCTGTAGGAATTTCATGTTTTACTGGTAATGTTTCGTTATGATTTCTGAGCAGTGCCACAATTTGATGAACACCGTCCATTCTTCATCTGCAGATCTGTGAAGGTGTCTACACTTCCTCACAGAACTTTGCGTTAATATAATAACACTTTGGAACTCCATTAGCCTCAGCTTTATTGTGAGCTGTGTGTAGCAACTTATTTAACTTTGCATTTGCTTTCTGAGTTTCAATTAATGAAGACATGCCAAAAACTTCGTTTGAATCATCCTCATTCTTAAATAGAGTTTGGACTACCCTAACATCTGCTTGCAGTATCAATGTGTCTCTGCTAATTAACTTTGTTTATCTGTTGGTCTGGTCGCTACACACAGTGGATAAATACCTGGAAGCTGCTCTTGCAACTGTTCCATCTCATTAGCCTCATTCGCACATCCTATGATTATAGAAAAAGCTGTTGTTTACTCTCCAGCTAAATCATTCTTCAGGAGGGTTTTCTCCATCCACTTGGCCCTTTGGGCATGCTCATCCATTCGATAAAATCATGGCTGATCTGATTTTAGCATCAACTGCACATTCCTGCATATCCACAACAATCTTTCATCCCCTTGGTAATCAAGAATCTACCTACCTCTGTCTTAAACGTGTTTAAAGATTCTGGCATCCACTGCTTTTTCAGGAAGGGAATTTCAAAGACTCTCCAGCCTCTGAGAAAAAAAATGTTTGCTCATCTCTATTTTAAATGGACGCCCCCTTAATTTTAAACTTGTTTTAGATTCTCTCACAAGAGGATACATCATTTCAACATCCATCCATTCAAGTCCTGTCAGCATCTGATACGTTTCAATGAAGTATACCTCTGACTCATCTAAACTTATGCTTGTGTATCCCACATACTGATGTAGTTTGCCAATGCCAACTTTCATGGACAAAGAGTCAAGGAGATTGTTAGCCATGTGACTTCATCAATACTTCATCAGAAGTCACTGGACTCGAAAAGCTGGCTTTGCTTTCTTCTCACAGATGCTGAGAGACCTGCTGAGTTTCACCAGTAATTTTTGCTTTTGCTTCAGGTTCATCAATGTCTTTTAGGGAGAGAAATCACCAGGTTTGGCCTACTTGTGACTCCAGTCCAAAAGCAGCATGCTTGTCTCTTAACTGCTCTCTGTATTCACCTGGAAAGTCTTTCAGTTTAAGGACAACAAATGCTGGCCTTTCCAGAAATGTCCATGTGGCATGAAAGGATAAAGAAAAATGTATAAATGTTGAATAGTTGGAAAATAAAAGTGTAGTTGTAAATGAAAAAAATAATTACAATGAAGCGTAAACAGCGTGAGAGTTTTCAAGTGTACAGAGCAGGGATACAAGAAAGATTATTTAAAAGTAAATTATTATGGAGACAGCAAGTCAGATAATGTGCTGTTGCTGTAGCATGTGGGAGCTGCTGAACATCAGGTTAATCCAGAATGAACATATCTGTGGCAAGTGTTTGCAGCTCAAGTAAATTTGAATCCAAGTTGAACTGGAGTCTGAGCTGCAGCTAAGCCACCTCAGGGATAGGGAAAGCTACCCGAATACTTTATTCCTGGAACTTGTCACACTCCTCGGATTAGGTAATTCAGATTTGATCTGTGACCGGAGACAGGACCATATGACTGCAGGTGAGGCAGTTCTGGGGATCGATGACTTAGCTTTAAAGTTGATGCGGCCTTTGCAATTGCCCAACGTAAATGAAGTTCTTGCAATCTGTGTGGATGAGAGCAGGGACTGCAGGGTGGATGAGCAGACTGACCCCTGCACCGTGGTACAGGAAGCTATTGAAGTGTGGTGAGGTAATAGGAATGTAGCCAGTGTTAGGGCCAGCAGTTAGGAAGATTAATTTTTTTTGTGCAATTATGAGCATGTGTCTTGAAGGCTGTGTTGCCTGCCCTGTGTCAGGGTTAAAAACATCTTCTTCAGGGTGAAGAACAACTTGGAGTGGGAAGGGAGGGTTTTAGTTGCCGATATTTATGTTACTATTAATGACATTGATAAAATGAGGTTCTGCTGAAAGAATTTGAACAGAAAGAAGCTAAATTTAAATACAGAATCTCTAAGGTAATGATCTCAGGATTACTCTCTGAGTAATGAACAAGCTGGCATAAGGTAAATAATTCAAGGAGTTAAATTTGTGGCACAAAGAATCATGTGGGAGGAATGAATTTCAGTTTATGGGACACTGTCACCTGCACGGAGCAAAAGGAAGCTGTTTGGTGGGATGGACTTCATTTGAACCATACTGGGGCAAGTGTTCTGGTGAGTCGAATAACTAAACCTGTTGAGAGGGTGTTAAACTAATTGGTGGGAGTGGGTGGGGATGATTCTACTGAGGGAATTTGTAGGCTGGCAAAGCAAAAGGATATGACAACATTGCAGAACAGCTATGTGAATAATGATACTCAGTGTGGCACAGGAAGAGACAAAGTATACCAAAGATTTTTTTTTGAAAAGCAAGAAATAGGTTCAGAGGTGGAAGAAATGATAAAAAGGCAAAATTAATTGCTCTTTACTTAAATGTGTGTAGTGATTGGAAAAAAAACAAATGAATTAATGACACAGGTATAGTTTAATGGTAATGATCTTATAACTATTATGGAGACATAGTTGGCAGGCGATCAAAGCTGTGGGCACAACATTTAGGACTACATGACATTTCAAACTGAGAAGCAGGTAGAAAAGGACAGTGGCAGTTTTGTAAATATGAGACAGAGTAAGTATGTTAGCAAAAGCTGATCTTGGATAAGAAGATACAGAATTAATATGAGTAGAGGTATGAAAAAATGAAGGGAAGCATACACTGATAGGAATAATAAATAAATCAGAAGGTAATGAGGGCATGTCAAAAATATAGTACATTAATCATGGGTGACTTTAAGCTTCGTGTAGATTAGGAAAATCAAATTGGCAGAGGTAGTCATGAGGAAGAATCCATAGAGTGTAGTTGGGACGATTTCCTAAAACAATACAGTGTAGATACAACTAGGGATCAGGCTATTTTGGATCTGGTGATGTGTAATAAGATAGGTTTAATAAATGATCTCAGAGTAAATATACCCTTGGAAATAACAACCATAATATGATACAATTTAACATTCAGCTAGAGAGCAAGGAACTTCGGTCAGAAACAACTGTCCAAAACTTAAATAAGAGTTATTACAAAGGAACGAGGATAAAGTTGGCTGCAGTGAGCTTGGAAAGGAGTTTAGCAGAAACGACAGTTGATGAACAACAGCAGTCATTTAAGAAAATAGTTAATGACGCACAGCAAAGTTGTATCCCTGTAAGGAAAGACGATTTTAGGAAGGGGATAAGTGCACCCCGGTTAACCAAAGAAGTTAAGGATAGTATCAAATTGAAAGAAGAAACATACAATGCGGTAAAGATTAGTGGTATACTAGAGGATTAGGTAAATTTTAAAAGACAATAAAAGATGACCAAAAGAACATAAAAGGAGAAAGCAATCTGTGTGGGTAAACCAGCAAACATATAAAAACAGTCAGTATGATCTTCTTTAAGTATATGAAAAGGAAGAATGAGGCCAAAGTGAACATCAATTCCATCTTTTATTCATTCATGGGATGTGGGCATCACTGGCTGGGCCACAATTTATTCCCAATCTCTAGATGTTCTTAAGAAGGTGGTAGTGAGCTGCCTTCTTGAATTGTTGCAGTCAGTTTGCTCAAGGCAGACCCAAAGACTTTTAGGAAGGGTGCTTCAGAATCTTGACTCAATGATACAAAAAGAATTTCCAAGACAACATGGTGTGAGGCTTGGAGGGAAACTTGGAGTTGGTGGTGTTCGTCTGTATCTGCTGCCCTTCGCCTACTAGATGACTATAGTCAAGTGTTTGGAAGGTGCTACCTAATGAGCCCTGGAGAAGTTCTTCAATGCATCTTGTAGATGGTGGAGCGAGTGGATATGGTGCCAGTAAAGTGAGCTACTTTGTGTATGATGGTATCAAGCTATTGAGTGTTGTTAAAGCTGCACTCATCCTGATAAGTGGAGAATGTTATGCCACATTCCTGATTTGTGCCTTGTAGATGGTGGACAGAACATGAAGCTAGGGAAATAATATTGGGGAACCAGGAAATGGCAGATGTGTTGAATAATTACTTGGTGTCAGTCTTCACATGAGAGGACACTAATAACATTCCAAAAAATACAAAATTAAGAGGCAAAACTTGAGTAGGAAATAAATGCAATAACTATCACTAGAGAAAAGGTTCTAGGGAAACTAATGAGACTAAAGGCCAATGACTCCCCTGACCTGATGCGTTGTATCCTAGGATACAAAGGAAATATCTACAGAGATAGTGGACCAATTGTCCAAAAATTCTTAGATTCTAGAAAAGTCCCTCAGAATTTGAACACTGCCAATCTGACATCCTTATTATAAAAAGGAAGGAGACAAAAACAAGTGACGACAGGCCAATTAATTTAATATCTCTCACTGGGAAAATGTTAGAGCCTGTTATAATGGATGTAATAGTAGTGCACTTATAAAGGCATAATATAACCAAAAAGAAACAGCATGGCTTATGAAGGAAAATGGAGTTAACAAGCAGGATGCAAAAAGGGGAACCATGAGACATAATATATTTAGATTTCCAGAAGGGCTGCTTCAAGATCATGGACGAGTTGGACCGAAGGGTCAGTTTCTTGCTGTACATCTCTATGACTCTATAAGGCAATAATGAGGTTCCGCACAAAAGGCTACTTGTGGTAGCATATGGTTTTAGGGACAGTAGATTAGCACGGATCGGTTGAGGTAAAAGGTGAAGTTGCCATAGTCACAGAGGACCATTGGACTGCTGTCTCATGAGAGAGTGATGACCAGTGGTGAGTTTAACCTGCGGGTCCTCATGCTCCAGAGAAGTTGAGAAGGTAGACCTTCATGGTACCTTCAGCCAGTGTAAGTTTGAACCTGAGTTATTGGTGTTGCTCTGCATGGCAAACCAGCTGTCCAGACAACTGAGCTAACCAACCCCACTACGTGGTTAGAGGATTAGATAGCTAATAGAAAACAGAAAGTTGGCATTTGGAGGCGATTTTAAGATGACAACATTAACTAGTGGAGTGCCACATGGAACAGTGCTAGGGATCCATAATTATTTCCAAGATATATGAATGATTTGGACAAGGGAAGTGAATGCACTATCATCAAGTTTGCAGATGACACCAATATAAGTGGCAAGACAAATAGAGAGGATGACAGAGTGTACAGAGGGATACAAACAGGGTAAGTGAATAGGCAAAAACTTGGCAGATGGAATATAATCTGAGACAATGTGAGGTTGTCCACGTTGGCAGGAAGAACAGAAAACTTGAATTTTATTTTAATTGAGAATGACAGCATAGAGGGATTTGGGAATCCTCGTGCATAACTCACAAAAAGTTAGCATACATGTTCACTGTATAATAGGGAAGGGAAATTAAATGTTGGATTTTATTTCAAAGGAAATAGAGTACAAAAATAGGGAAGTCTTCCTCAAACTACACAAAGCATTAGTCAAACCACAGCCAGAATGCCACGAACTGTTCTGATCTCCGTTTCTAAGGAAAGACATATTGACATTGAAGTCCATCCAGAGAAGGTTCACGTAGGTTGATCCTAAATATAGAGAGATTTTCTTATGGGGAGGGTTTGAGTAGGTTGGGCCTATACTCATCGGAGTTTAGAAGAAGGAAAGGTGAGCTTGTTGAAACATAAAAGATCTTAAGGGACTTCACTGGATAGATGTGAAGAGATTGTTTCCCCTTGTGGGAGAGTCTAGGACCAGAGAACAACAAGGTCAGAGTAAAGGGTCACCCAGTGAAGACAGAGATGAGGAAGAATTTCTTCTCCAGAGGGTCAGAGGGTAGTGAATCTGTAGAATTGTTTACCAGAGAGAGATGTCAAAGCTCAGATTTTTAATCAGTAAGGGAATCCAGGCATATGGGGGAATGGCAGGAAAGTGGAGTTGAGGATTAGATCAGCCATGATCTTATTGAATGGCAGAGCAGACTTGATGAGATGAGTGACCTATCTTTGCTCCAAGTCCTTTGATCTCATGGTATGAAGAATTACACAATATAGAGGTAATTAGATTTTAACAGAATCAAATTCATAGATTTTAAAAAAACTTGTATTCAATAATTATTTAAAGTTATGGAGATAACTTTCCTCTTCAATACTTTTTCTAGGATTATGTGTGTCGTGTTGCCCTTAATAAAATGAATGGAATTTATCCTGTGCTGAACTTACTAAACTCTGAATATCCTGTCATCCAACAATTGGCACTGCAAACCCTAATAACCGTCTCCAGTGATGCAGGGAGCAGAAAGGCACTGTTTCAGAATGAAGGTCATGAAACACTTCTGCAGGTTCTTGATACACCGGTAATAAAATCTATACAGTAAATAGTGTCTTCATAAATGTATTCAGTGTTTGATCCAACTATTAACCACATGATTCATGAATGAAAGTAGTCTCAGTTCTTTCTTGTTCAACTTGGAAATCATTTCGTAGACATTACCATAATGAACAATATGCCAATATTAATATATACAGTATCCTGAAGAAGGGTTGCTGGACCCAAAATGTTGACTCTATTTTCTTTCCACAGATGCTGCCAGAGTTGCTGAGTTTCTCCAGCAATTTCTGTTTGTGATACAATATTAAATGCCATTGAAATTAGTATACTTTGTTATATAGCATCAATATCAATTATATCTATGTCCTATACAGTATATATGTATGATATACGTGTCCTATACAGTTAACAGTTATATATCCTTTATATGTCTTACCAATTACTGTTGGTTCAAAATTATTTTCCAAAAAGTTTTCCTTCTCCTACTCAAACAAAACAATATGTTCATTTTGATTCACTTTCCATTGTTGGAAATGGTAGTGCTATTTCAACACCACATTTGAAAGTCATTTAGCAATGCGAGGTTAACTTGAAGTGTGCTGGCTTAACTTCTTTTTTTTGTAAACAATTGAATCAAATCAAAAATCCATTTAATTTTCTTAGATTTCCAAGGAAAATCAGTTTGCAAGGGCCAGCAAAATAAGTGAAGCAGGTAGAGGGATCCTGCAGTCAGGAACAGAGGAGCCTCAGCTCTTGACCTTGTCCAACAGGTACAAGGTACTTGCTCCCTGTGTGGATGAGGGAAAGGGCTGCAGGCCAACTGACCACTGCACCATAGTACGGGAGGCCATTCAAAAGGGGGAGCAAAAAGACACGTGGTAGTTGTAGGGGATTCTATAATTAGGGGGATAGATAGTATCCTTTGTAAGCAGGATTGAGAGTCCCGCATGGTGTGTTGCCTGCCTGGTGCCAGGGTAAAGGATATCTCCGACCGGCTTGAAAGGATATTGGAACGGGAGGGGGAGGATCCAGATGTTGTGGTCCATGCCGGAACAAACAACATAGGCAAGACTAGGAAAGAGGACCCGTTTAGAGATTGTCAAGAGCTAGGAACCAAATTAAAGAGCAGGTCCTCAAGGGTTATAATCTCCGGATTACTGCCCGAGCCACGTGCTAATTGGCATAAGGGACATGAGAATAAGGGAGGTAAACACATGGCTAAAAGAGTGGTGCGGGAAAGAGGGATTCCTTTTCATGGGGCACTGGCATCAGTATTGGAACAGGAGGGATCTGTACCGTTGGGACGGTCTCTACCTGAATCGAGCTGGGACCAATGTTCTAGTGAAAAGGATAAATAGGCTGATCAACAGGACTTCAAACTAGAAAGTGGGGGGGAAGGGAATAGTGAAATTTGCCCCAGTGGGAAACAAAGCAGCAGGTTAACATCTGTAGTGGTGGATTCAACTACGTGGAAAAATATGAAAGAAATGACAGGGAAGGAGAACTCAGGAGAGGTTATTAAAGTCTCCAGCACAGATACAAATAGGACAGAGTGTTTGGAAAGGGCTAGCAATCAAACACTGGAAAAACAAATGAAAATGAGAAGAGGGAGGGTTAATACAGGACTGAAGGTGTTATATCTGAATGCACGCAGTATAAGGAATAAGGTAAATGAGCTTGTGGCGCAGATTGAAACTAGCAGGTATGACGTGGTAGGCATCACGGAGACGTGGCTGCAAGGGGATCAGTATTGGGAACTGCATATCCAAGGATATACATCCTATCGAAAAAATAGGCAGGTGGGCCGAGGGGGGTGGGGTTGCCTTATTAATGAGAAATGAAATTAAATCAAAAGGAAGAAACAAAGTAGGGTCAGATGGTGTAGAATCTGTGTGGGTAGAATTGAGAAACCGCAAAGGTAAAAAAACCATAGTTAGAGTTGTGTACACAACTCCAAACAGTAGTCAGGAGCTGGGGCGCAAGATACACCAGGAGATAGAAAAGATGTGTAAGAAAGGCAAAGTCACAGTGATCATGGGGGATTTCAATATGCAGGTGGACTGGGAAAATCATGTTGGTAGTGGATTGCAGGAAAAGGAGTTTGTGGAATGTCGATGAGATGGCTTTTTGGAGCAGCTTTTTTGGAGCCCACAAGGAAACAGGCAATACTGGATTTAGTGGGGTGGAGGGACGTTTCGGGCCTAGAATACTGGATTTAGTGTTGTGCAATGAGGCAGACTTGATAAGGGAGCTTAAGGTAAAGGAACCCTTAGGAGGCAGTGATCATAAGATGATAGAATTTACTCTGCAATTTGAGAGGGAGAAGATAGAATCAGAGGTAACGGTATTACAGCTGAATAGAGGTGACTACAGAGGTATGAGGGAGGAGCTGGGCAGAATTGACTGGAAGAGGAGCTACCAGGAAAGACTGTGGAACAGCAATGGAAGGAGTTTCTGGGAGTAATTCAGGAGACGCAGCAGAAATTCATCCCTAGGAAAAACAAGCATGGTACAGGGAGGATGAAGCAACCGTGGCTAACTGAGAAAGTCAGGGATAGCATGAAAGCAAAAGAGAAAGCATATAATCTGGTGAAGGGCAGTGGGAAATCAGAGAACTGGGAAGCTAACAAAGACCAACAGAGTGCAACAAAAAAAGAAATAAGGAGGCAGAAGATTAAATATGAGGGTAAGCTAGCCAGTAATATAAATGAAGACTGTAGGAGTTTCTTTAGATATACAAAGGGCAAAAGAGAGGTCAAAGTGGACACTGGACTACTGGAAAATGACGGTGGAGAGATGGTAGTGGGGAACAAGGAAATGGCTGAGGAACTCAATAATTACTTCGCGTCAGTCTTCATGGTGGAAGACATGAGTAATCTCCCAAAAATTCAAGAGAGTCAGGGGGCAGAGCTGAGTATGGTGACCATCATCAAGGAAAAGGTGCTAGTAAAACTGATTGGCCTGAAGGTGGATAAATCACCTAGACCAGATGGACTACACCCCAGAGTTCTAAAGGAGATAGCTGAAGAGATAGTGGAAGCGTTAGTGGTGATCTTTCAGGAATCGCTAGATTCAGGGAGAGTCCCAGAGGACTAGAAAATCACTAACGTGACACTCCTGTTTAAAAAGGAAGTAACTGAAAATTATAGACCGATTAGCCTAACCTCGGTCTTGGGTAAGATTTTGGAGTCCATTGCAAAGGATGAGATTTCCGAATATTTGGAGTGTATGGTAAAGTAGGGCAAACTCAGCATGGTTTCATCATGGGGAGGTCATGCCTGACAAATCTGCTAGAATTCTTTGAGGAAGTAATCAGCAGGGTAGACCAAGGACAGCCAATGGATGTTATCTACCTGAACTTCAAGAAGGCCTTTGACAAGGTACCGCACAGGAGGCTGCTGAGTAAGATAAGGGCCCACGGTGATAGAGGCAAGGTGCTAGCATGGATAGAAGATTGGCTGTCTGGCAGAAAGCACAGAGTGAGGATAAAGGGGTCTTTCTCAGGATGGCAGCCGGTGACAAGTGGTGTTCTGCAAGGGTCAGTGCTGGGACCACAACTTTTCACTTTGTACATTAATGATCTAGATGAAGGAACCGTGGGCATTCTGGCTAAGTTTGCAGGCGATACAAAGATAGATGGAGGGACAGGTAGTATTGAGGAGGTGGCAAGGCTGCAGAAGGATTTGGACAGGTTAGGAGAGTGGGCAAATAAGTGGCAGATGGAGTACAACGTGGGAAAGTGTGAGGTCATGCACGTTGGTAAGAAGAATAAAAGTATGGACTGTTTTCTAAATGGGGAGAAAATTCAGAAATCTGAAGTGCAAAGAGTCTTGGGAGTTCTAGTCCAGGATTCTCTCAAGGTAAACCTGCAGGTTGAGTCAGTAGTCAGGAAGGCAAATGCAATGTTGGCATTTATTTTGAGAGGACTTGAATATAAAAGTTGGGATGTACTACTGAGGCTTTATAAGACTCTGGTCAGGCCACATTTGGAGTATTGTGTGCAGTTTTGGGCCCCATATCTCAGGAAGGATGTACTGGCCCTGGAGCGGTTCAGAGGACGTTCACGAGAATGGTCCCAGGAATGGAAAGCTTAACGTATGAAGAACGTTTGAGGACTCTGGGACTATACTCATTGGAATTTAGAAGGATGAGGGGGGATCTAATTGAAGTTCCAGAATACTGAATGTCCTGGACAGAGTGGATGTTGGGAAGATGCTTCCATTGGTAGGAAAGTCTAGGACCCGAGGCACAGCCTTAGAGTAAAGGGAAAACCTTTTAGAACAGAGTTAAGGAGAAACTTCTTCAGCCAGAGCGTGAGGAATCTATGGAATTCACTGCCACAGAAGGCTGTGGAGGCCAGGTCATTGAGTACATTTAAGACTGAGCTGGATAAGTTCTTGATTATCAAGGGGATCAAGGGTTACAGGGAGAATGTGGGAGAATTGGGTTGAGGAACTTATCAGCCATGATTGAATGGCAGAGCAGACTCGATGGGCTGAATGGCCAAATTTCTGCTCCTGTGTCAAAGAACAAAGAACAAAAAACAAAGAAAATTACAGCACAGGAACAGCCCCTTCGGCCCTCCAAGCCTGCGCCGATCCAGATCCTCTACCTAAACCTGTCGCCTATTTTCCAAGGATCTGTATCCCTCTGCTCCCTGCCCATTCATGTATCTGTCTAGATACATCTTAAATGACGCTATTGTGCCCGCCTCTACCACCTCCACTGGCAGCGCATTCCAGGCACCCACCACCCTCTGCATAAAGAACTTTCCACGCGTATCTCCCTTCAACTTTTCCCCTCTGACCTTGAAATCATGACCCCTAGTAATTGAGACCCCCACTCTGGGAAAAAGCTTCTTGCTATCCACCCTGTCTATACGTCTCATGATTTTGTAGACCTCAATCAGGTCCCCCCTCAACCTCCGTCTTTCTAATGTAAATAATCCTAATCTACTCAACCTCTCTTCATAGCTAGCGCCCTCCATACCAGGCAACATCCTGGTGAACCTCCTCTGCACCCTCTCCAAAGCATCCACATCCTTTTGGTAATGTGGCGACCAGAACTGTACGCAGCATTCCAAATGTGGTCGAACCAAAGTCCTATACAACTGTAACATGACCTGCCAACTCTTGTACTCAATACGCCGTCCGATGAATGAAAGCATGCTGTATGCCTTCTTGACCACTCTATCGACCTGCGTTACCACCTTCAGGGTACAGTGGACCTGAACACCCAGATCTCTCTGTGCATCAATTTTCCCCAGGGCTTTTCCATTTACCGTATAGTTCGCTCTTGAATTGGATCTTCCAAAACGCATCACCTCGCATTTGCCTGGATTGAACTCCATCTGCCATTTCTCCGCCCAACTCTCCAATCTATCTATATTCTGCTGCATTCTCCGACAGTCCCCTTCACTATCTGCTACTCCACCAATCTTAGTGTCATCTGCAAACTTGCTAATCAGACCATCTATACCTTTCTCCAGATCATTTATGTATACCACAAACAACAGTGGTCCCAACACGGATCCCTGTGGAACACCACTGGTCACAGTTCTCCATTTTGAGAAATTCCCTTCCACTACAACTCTCTGTCTCCTGTTGCCCAGCCAGTTCTCTATCCATCTAGCTAGTACACCCTGGACCCCATGCGACTTCACTTTCTCCATCAGCCTACCATGGGGAACCTTATCAAACGCCTTACTGAAGTCCATGTATATGACATCCACAGCCCTTCCCTCATCTACCGACTTTGTCACTTCCTCAAAGAATTCTATCAAGTTGCTAAGACATGACCTTCCCTGCACAAAACCATGCTATCTATCACTAATAAGCCCATTTTCTTCCAAATGTAAAAAGATCCTATCCCTCAGTATCTTCTCCAGCAGCTTCCCCACCACTGACGTCAGGCTCACCGGTCTATAATTACCTGGATTATCCTTGCTACCCTTCTTAAACAAGGGGACAACATTAGCAATTCTCCAGTCCTCCGGGACCTCACCCGTGCTCAAGGATGCTGCAAAGATATCTGTTAAGGCCCCAGTTATTTCCTTTCTCGCTTCCCTTAGTAACCTGGGATAGATCCTATCTGGACCTGGGGACTTGTCCATCCTAATGCCTTTTAGAATACCCAACACTTACCCCCTCCTTATGCCGACTTGACCTAGAGTAATCAAACATCTATCCCTAACCTCAACATCCATCATGTCCCTCTCCTCAGTGAATACTGATGCAAAGTACTCATTAAAAATCACACTCATTTTCCCTGACTCCTCGCATAACTTCCCTCCTTTGTCCTTGAGTGGGCCAACCCTTTCTCTAGTTACCCTCTTGCTCCTTATATATGAATAAAAGGCTTTGGGATTTTCCTTAACCCTGTTTGCTAAAGATATTTCATGACCCCTTTTAGCTCTCTTAATTCCTCGTTTCAGATTGGTCCTACTTTCCCGATATTCTTCCAAAGCTTCGTCTGTTTTCAGTCGCCTAGACCTTATGTATGCTTCCTTTTTCCTCTTTGCTAGTCTCACAATTTCACATGGTTCCCTAATCTTGCCCTTTCTATCCCTCATTTTCACAGGGACATGTCTGTCCTGCACTCGAATCAACCTCTCTTTAAAAGCCTCCCACATATCAAATGTGGATTTACCCTGAAACAGCTGCTCCCAATCCACATTCCCCAGCTCCTGTCGAATTTTGCTATAGTTGGCCTTCCCCCAATTCAGCACTCTTCCTTTCGGACCACTCTCGTCTTTGTCCATCAGTATTCTAAAACTTACGGAATTGTGATCACTATTCCCAAAGTAATCCCCTACTGAAACTTCAACCACCTGGCCAGGCTCATTCCCCAACACCAGGTCCAATATGGCCCCTTCCCAAGTTGGACTATTTACATACTGCTCTGGAAAACCCTCCTGGATGCTCCTTACAAATTCTGCTCCCTCTAAACCCCTAACACTAAGTGAATCCCAGTCAATGTTGGGAAAATTAAAATCTCCCATCACCACCACCCTGTTGCTCCTGCATCTTTCCATAATCTGTCTACATATTTGTGCCTCTATCTCACGCTTGCTGTTGGGAGGCCTGTAGTACAGTCCCAACATTGTTACCGCACCCTTCCTATTTCTGAGCTCTGCCCATATTGCCTCATTGCTCGAGTCCTCCATAGTGCCCTCCTTCAGCACAGCTGTGATATCCTCTTTGACAAGTAATGCTACTCCTCCACCCCTTTTACCTCCCTCTCTATCCCACCTGAAGCATCTATATCCTGGGATATTTAGTTGCCAATCTTGCCCTTCCCTCAACCAAGTCTCAGTAATAGCAACAACATCATACTCCCAGGTATTAATCCAAGCCCTAAGTTCATCTGCCTTACCTACGACACTTCTCACATTAAAACAAATGCACCTCAGACCACCTGTCCTTTTGCGTTCATCATCTGCTCTCTGCCTACTCTTCCCCTTAGTCACACTGACTTAATTATCTTGTTCCTTACAGGCATAGTTACTACCTCCTTACTATCCACTAACCTTCTCATTTGGTTCCCAACCCCCTGCCACATTAGCTTAAACCCTCCCCAACAGCATTAACAAAAGCAGCCCCTAGGACATCGGTTCCAGTCCTGCCCAGGTGTCGACAGGTGTCGTATGGTCTTATGGTCTTATTAAAATAGTGTCTCACTGAAATTTTAGTGGTATTACCCCTTTCAGAGACACTTGATTTGGATAATTAGGGTTAGGTGCATATGAGTCTGTAATTAAATTGTACCCAACTTGGATTTTTTTTTGTCACACGGATGGTTGCACAATTCAGATGAAGCATGTGCTCATAGTTCAACGGCCAACTTTAAAATCGGGTTTTTTTTTCAACTTACTGTGGTATACACCAGTTTATTGGTCAATTTCTATGACCAGTGGATAGGAGTGTAAAATCATGTCATGCAATTAAAATTTACTTCCAGTTACAGGTAATTATTATCTCTGCTGGAGTTTGCTTTGCTTGATTCAATGAAATTTAATATTTGTTATTCTGAACCAAAGACATTTATGAAAGAAATTTTTGACAATTTATTATTGATAATGTTATATGATGATAAGAATTTTTAACAGTGGTTAATACTGATTGGATATTTTATTTATATGTGATTGCGATTTTTTTTCTTCTAGGAATTTAGTGATCTTCATGCAGATGTATTGCATGTCCTGGCGAACTGTCTGGAAGAGGCACAAAATGTTACGATTATCCGTGAATCAGGAGCTTTGGAAAAGTTTTTGTTATTTCTAGCTACATCCTCGTTTCCTGAAGCACAGAGGCATGCAACTAATGCAATAACAAGATCAGCTCGTAACAGTATGTTAGAACTTAATTTTACCAAATTTATTTAAAGTGAATTATTACCAATATGAAATTTTTATAAGTTGTAATTTACTTCTAAAACTTAAAGACTAAGACAATTCCTAAAACTCAAGTAAATATAATACAATTAATTCTACTTTGCTTATATGCATATTATAGTACAGTATATTTTTGTATGAAAATTAAATAATGCTATGTAGTAGAATCACTTACGGTGTTAGTCCACAACGTAACAGTTCTTCTAGAATCATTTACTCCGGGAGAGGGAATAAACAACTGCTAACTGCAGAATTGAAACTGAATTGCCATATGAAAGGACATCGGAAAATTAGGAAAAGGTGTACCCCATTGACTGCCTTGAGTCTGCCCCCTTATTCAAATTACTCACGGGTGACCTGTACTCCATTCCATATTCTTTCATACCCTTACCAAAAACATTCTATTGACAATCTGGATGAAGGATGAGAGCATTGTTGTTTAGTTTGCAGATGGCATAAAGATAGCTGGAGGGTTAGGTAGTGTTGAAGTGGCAGAGGGGCAGCAGTTGGACTTGGACATGCCAGGAGAGTGAGCAAACAAGTTGCAGATGGAATACAATGTGGGGAAGTGTGAGGTTATGCCCTTGGGTGGGAAGAATAGAGGTGTAGACTATTTTCTGAGCTAGTTTTCAGAAATCTGAAGCACAAAGGGACTTAGGAGTTCTAGTTCAGGAATTAATAAAGAGGTTCATTTGCCAGTTAGGAAGGCATGTGCAATGTTGGCATTCATTTCAAGAGGACTAGAATACAAGAGCAGAGATGTATTGCTGAGACTGTGGTCAGACTGCATTTGGAATATTGTGAGCAGTTTTGGGCCCCATATCTAAGGAAAGATGTGCTGATGTTGGAGAGTTCCACAGGAGGTTTACAAGAATGATCCTGGGGATGAAATGATTGTCATATGAGGAATGGTTGAGGACTCTGGGTCTGTACTGAATGGAGTTTAGAATGAGGGGGGATCTCATTGAAACTTGCCGAATATTGAAGGGCCTGAATAGAGTGGATGTTGAGAAGATGTTTCCACTAATAGGAAAGAGTGGGGCCTAAGGGCACAGCATCATAGTGAAGGGATAAGCGTTTAGAACTGAGATGAGGAGGAATTTCTTCAGCCTAAGGGTTGTTAATCTGTGGAACTCATTGCCACAGAAAGCTGTGGAGGCCAATTCATTGAATAACGACAGAAATAGATAGGTTCTGGATTAACAAAGGGATCAAAGGTTATGAGGAGAAGGCAGGGGAATGTCGTTGAGAAACATATCGGCCATGATCAAATGGTGGAACATTTTGATGAGCTAAATGGCCTACTCCTGCTCCTACATCTCATGGTCTTATGGTCTATATCTATTTGGAAAGTTCAGACTATCCCAGTACCAAAACCTTTTGAGTAAAAATATCCCACATTTCTACTACTATTTTTATATGGAAAGGTTCCTTATTTTCTTTTGAATAGCTAGCTCTACGTTTAAATTTATGTACCTTTCTTTTTGATTCTTCCACCAAGAAATTATTTCTCTGTGTCTACCCTGTCAATTCCATTTAACATTTTAAATTACTCAATTGGATCATTCCGTAGTCTTCTACATTCAAGAGAATATGAGCAATCAGTCCTCCACATTGACCATTTAAGTCTGGTATTGTTCTGTGTTAGCTATCTCTTTCTCTTTATTAGAAATAAAGAAGAGTATTGGTAATTATGTGCTGTTGCTGCTGACATTTATTCAATTAAAGGAGAATATTACTGCTGAAGAAAGAATTTTTAAAATTGGATGCAAACATGTTTTAACAGTCTTTTACGGTTGTTTCCAAACCTGGATACAAGGTCATCAATTCTTCATGCTGACTGTTCTCAATCTATGTTAACTCCACATCATAACTTAATTCAACCACAGGTTCAGAGTTTAACTGTAACCTTCTCATATTCTTCTCCATATCCCCAATTTATCTCAACTAATCTTTTCCATGCTGATGTAACCTGAATTCCCACTGCAGACATTCACATGCACATTTTAGCTGAACCTATTACTTATATCTCCCTCTTTTTCTGTTGAGCCCTTATCACTTGCCTACTACTTGTTATTCAGTCATGTCACTTTAGCTTTTACCATTTCAGACACTTTTATCCCACTCATAACTAAGGTCTCATAGCCTGCAAGGATATCAGCTTTTAAAGGTGATATGTGCAATGAAAACAACCTCCCTCTCAACGTTGGCAAAACTAAAGAACTGATCATTGACTTCAGAAAGAAAGGAGAATATGCCCTTATCTACATCAACGGAACTGAAGTTGAGAGGATGGAGAGTGTCAAGTTCCTTGGAGTGACAATAACCGACAACCTGTCCTGGACTTCCCACGTAGATGCAACAGTCAAGGAGGCACAACAATGCCTCTTCTCAGGCGGCTCAGGAAATTTGGCATGTCCATAAGGATACTTGTACAGATGCACCATTGAAAGCATACTGTCTGGGCACATAACGGCCTGGTATGGCAACTGCTCTGCCAAGGACCGTAAGAAACTACAGGAGGTGGTGTGCACAGCCCAGACAATCACGGAAGCCAACCTCCCATCCATGGACTCCATTTAGAACATAGAGCATAGAACAGTACAGCACAGTACAGGCCCTTTGGCCCACGATGTTGTGCCGAACTTTTACCCTAATCCTAAGGTCTATCTAACCTCCACCCCTACCTTATACTATCATCCATATGTCTATCTAATAGCTGCTTAAATGCCCCTAATGAAGCCAACTCCACTACCCTCTCCGGCAATGCATTCCACACCCCAACCACTCTCTGAGTAAAGAACCTACCTCTGACGTCTCCCCTATATCTACCTCCACTCACTTTAAGACTATGCCCCCTCATAATAGCTACCTCCACCCTAGGAAAAAGTCTCTGGCTGTCCACTCTATCTATACCTCTGATCATTTTGTACACCTCTATCAAGTCACCTCTCATCCTTCGTCGTTCTAAAGAGAAAAGCCCTAGCTCTCTCAACCTTTCTTTGTAAGACCTTCCCTCCATTCCAGGCAACATCCTGGTAAATCTCCTCTGCACCTTTTCCAACGCTTCCACATCTTTCCTCTAATGAGGCGACCAGAACTGGACACAATACCCCAGATGTGGCCGAACCAGGCTTTTGTATAGCTGGAGCATAACTTCACGGCTCTTGAACTCAATCCCTCTATTAATGAAAGCTAACACACCATAAGCCTTCTTAACGACTCTATCCACCTGGGTGGCAGCTTTCAGGGAACTGTGGACATGATCCCTGAGATCCCTCTGCTCCTCCACACTGCCAAGAATCCTTTCGTTAGCCCTGTATTCTGCTTTCAAGTTTGTCCTTCTAAAATGAATCACCTCACACTTTTCAGGGTTAAACTCCATCTGCCACTTCTCAGCCCAGCTCTGCATCCTATCAATGTCCCTTTGTATCCTAGAACAGCCCTCCACACTGTCCACAACGCGACCCACCTTCGTATCGTCCGCGAACTTACTAATCCACCCTTCCACTCCTTCATCCGAATCACTTACAAAAATCACAAAAAGAAGAGGACCCAGAACAGATCCTTGTGGTACACCACTCGTATCTGAGCACCATGTTGAATATTTTCCGTCTTCTAAGGGTCAGCCAATTCTGAATCCAATCTGCCACATTTCCCCCTATCCCATGCCTCTTTACCTTCTGCATGAGCCTACCATGGGGAACCTTATCAAACGCCTTACTTAAATCCATGTATATCACATCCACTGCTCTACCTTCATCCACGTGTTTGGCCACCTCTTCAAAGAATTCAAAAGAATTTGATACAATTCAATTCACAATATACACGGTTCACTGCCACGAAAGGCTGCCAACATCATCAAAGACCCATTGCACCCCAGTAATGATCTCCTATAACCTCTTCCATCAGGTAGAACCTGAAATCATGCACGAGCAGGTTCTGGAACAGCTTCTTCCAGGCCGTTATTAGACTGATGAATGGACTCTCTCTAGCCTCAAATAATGCTGTTCTTGCTAACATTGATCTCGCTTCGCGCACATTCTGTGCAATGTAACCTGTATTCCTCTGACTAAATTTTTTTGATCTGTGCATCCTTGTTTACTATGATCCGCCTGTACTGCTCGTAAACTGTACTTCGGTACACATGACAATCAATTAATCAATCAATCAATATAGTCTTATCAAGGTGAAATATCCTCACTAGCAATTGCTCATCTTGCCAACCACTTTTCTGAATCATTTGACCCGCAAAGTGCCAATCTTGTGGACTCTGCAGTGGATCAAAAAAAACTGTCCATCTTTGCGTTCACTTTTGAATTAAGTCATTGCTATTGAAGATCTAATTTCAAATGAAATTCCATTATTTCAGAAGAGAGGGAAGGAAAATTTAGGTAACTACAGGCTGATCAATTTAGCAAGAGCTGTGGACAACAAATGTGAGTTGATTAGAGTAAACATGAACTGATTAAAGAGAGCGTATATGGATCTGTGAAGAGTAGATCATGTCTGACTAGTTAGATATTTTAAGATCATCGGGAAATTAAATAGAGGTATGTCTATAAGTAAGCTATTCATGTGGACTTTTCAATGGTGTTTGATAATATCATATCTCCCAAAGAAAACAATATTTATAAATTTGAAAGAGCATGTAATTGGAGATAACTAATGTGACAATAATTATTAATTGGTTGGGAGATTGGAGGCTGTGAATAGGAATAAAGGAAAGTCTCAGAAATTTGAACAACAGATTAAGCAAACCATTTTACAGTCCTACTATGTAAAGGTGTTGCTGGTGGTACTTTCCACCATGAGGGTGCTGCTGCAATTTCAAACAGATGTTCTCTTACAACTCAATTGAACAACGTTGTGTATGAGTTTTAGTGCTGATGTGATGGCAGATACACAGCTTGTAATTGTTAACAATTGGTGATTGAATCTAACAACATGTTCCTCTAACTGTTTGTAACAGGCAGAGTACTGTACACTAAACCTAAAAGGAACCATCCATTGTTAGATATGCATCTGCAATTGGGAAGCCCTTGCTGAACAATCCTAAGCATGCTAATATTTACCCTAACAACAAATTTAATAAATTATGTCTGCTAGAAACAATATATTTTCGAATTCAGGGACAGATACGCTACAAACAAAAGGACTAGATTCAAGCTTTGCACTTAGTAAATAATTATCTAGAAGCTTGAGTAGCTTATAGTTCTCCATTGCTTTCTGTATGGCAAAGCCTCATCTAGTTATAGTCTACTTGCTAACCAAGGAAAACACCTCCTCTATAGTCTAATTTATTGTGAGTGTTTAAAATTTGACATTCTTGCATTCATCCTGTGCAAGCATGATGAAAAGCTTTGGCAATATGTCTTTCTTTCCAGTAATAGTAAAGGGCAAGTTCTGTGGTTAGTAGGATATGACAGGTGGAGTTTGGGATGAATCAGCACTATTAGATCAAGTTAATGCCTTGAATAATGGAATAGAGAATTGCTTATCCAAGTTAATTTAGAAGGCACAATAAGTTATGTGGATGAGCTCAAGATTTTGTAAACCTCCGCAGATAGACTAAATGGGCCAAATTTTCAACTGTGGGATTGGCAAGCCGGCCATTGTTTCAGTTGTGGGTAACGTTCCCTCCAAACTGCACGGCTGCATGCATATGCAGTGACTCTGAAGTTCTATGCATAGCAATCAGTGGTGCCAAAAGCAGCTTTGAGGAGGGATGTAATCACTGGGAATCCTTTGGAAAGGCAAGTGATTGCTATAACTGGGCCTGCTGCCACTATGTGCTATTTTTGGAGGGAGTGAATGTTTAATGTGGTTCATAGGGCACCAATGAAATGGACTGTTTTGCTGTTGATTGTGTGGAGCTTCTTGAGTATTATTTGAATCATCAGGCAGGTGAAAATGATTCCATCACCCTCCTGACATACATCATGTTGATACTGAGCAGATCTGGGTCATTTAGAGGTGAGTTACTCGTCACATAATTCCCAGCTTCTGACCTGCTCTTGAAATCGCAGCATTCAAACAACTGGTGCAATTAAGTTTCTGGTCAATGTTAACTCCCAGAGTGTTACTGTGGGCTTTCAGTACCACTGATGCTATTGAATGTTAAAGAGAAATGCTGATTTTTATTTTCCCTGTTTGGAGATGATCATTGCCTTGGCACTTCTGTACATGGCACTTGTTACTTCCCATTATCAGCCCAAGCCTGAATGTTGTTCAGGTGAAGCTGCATGTAGGCACGGTCTGCTTTGATGTCCAAGGAGTTGCAAACATTGCTGAATACTGCAATTCTCAAAGGATTTCCCCACCTGTGATAGTTTTATGGGGGGAGGGGAGCACTGATGAAGAAGTTGAAGATAATTGAAGCTAATTCTGAGAAATCCCAACAGCAATGTCTTGGGGCTCAGATGGTTAGCCTCCCATAATCACAACCATTTTCGTTTGTGTTTGGGGGGCTGGCCTAATCAATGGGGAATTTCCCCTCAGTTTCCAAATTAAGAATTGCATTACTACATAGATTTCCAGCAAGATTAATAGGCAATATTATCAAACTTTCCCTAATGTGGGCATGTTGCAGTTTAGTTAGGTCATCTAAAATAGAGGGTCATAGAGCAAAATCTGTGCTTCAAGAGCATCTTTACTTTCTTCGGATTGCTCCTTTAGATTTTGAGTTTGGCAAATAATAACGTTGGAAATACCACGTGACTATATAAACTCCCCAAGGACCACTTCCTGCAAAACACATTTCACAAGCAATCCTGTGAAGTAGTAACTGCTTTGAAAGTTGGGCCCCATGGTTTCCTGTCCTCTACAAATAACAGGTCTTTATAAGTGTTGTATTGCTTGGCAACAAGCCTGTAAGATCCGAACTGCAAATGCAATAATAATAGTTTTAACCTACAATTTTCAGAATTATGGATATTTGGGAGTTATTGTCAATAATTTACTCAAGCAATCCACATGACATTAAAAATGGTAGGCTGTAGCTAAATGACCTCCCTCTGTGCTGTTTTATTCTATCATTCGATTTTTCAGGTTTGCAATACAGCCTTGAAATCACTCTGGAGCATGTGATTTCTGTAGATGTATGTTTCCATTTTATGGATGATTTCAGTTTGCTTTGGCTAGTCATTGCCTTATTACAGATGCTGGTTTTGTTGTGTTAGTGATCACAGTGAACTTTGGCTGACTGTGTTTGTGTCACTATAAGTCTTCAAGAAAAATAAGAAATTCTAGCCAATATGGAGACAGTTGCCTGCTTTTACTTGAAGAACACTCCTCTAAATTCAAGACATGTACATCACGTGAAATATATTTTATTTTCCTTAATTAACTTATGTAAAGTTGATTGAATCTTGTTGATAGTAACAATATGTGGTCTTTTGCAAAGTGTGCAGAAATTTCAAACCGAAGCATGGAAGGTTGTAGACATAAAAAAAGTTAGTGAAGGTATGGTAGGTTGAAATTTACTGGATTGCTCAGCAAATTTGCTATGGATTTTATTAACTTTTCAACAAGCCAAAAGATGTGAATACCTTATGTGTGGGTGAATTAAAAGTGATGTATGGTATATTAAGATTAAGATGTTATTCTCAAAGTTTTCAGCATTTTATATGTTTTATTTACTCAGTCATTTTTTCATTTCATCTATTATACTAAGATTTTTTTTTATTTTTTGAAACTTCACATTGGTTTCTTTCTCAATAATATAAGGTGAAACCAGAAACATTTTCCATCAGGAAGGTTTGGAAAAAGTATTGGTGATGCTTTTAGGAATCAATAACGATGCAGTCAAAATAGCTGCCTGTGAAGCTGTGTCAGTTATGTGTGCATCTGACTCTAGCAAAGAGGCTTTCAGAACAGAAGGTAAGCATGAATGATTTAATATCATTCTTTAGTTAAATTTTCATTCCGTGAATAGCAAACATTTAATAGCCAACTAGATGATACAAAGTTGAAAATAGATTTCTAATATATTTTTTGCAGAAGCTATTTTTCAGATAGTTCCACTGCTAACAAGTGACAATGTGGAAATGAGAGAAGCTGCTGCATTAGCTCTAGCAAATTTAACAACTGCTAATTCCAGCAATGCCAGGTAACATTCATTATTAATCCTATGCTTACTATGCACTTGAGTTTATTTTGTAGATTTTGCTCTGTAAATTTTCTGTTCGTTGGAAGAGGAATATTGGTGATAACTTACTGAAAGCATTTGATATGGTGTCACAGGTCAGGTTGGTTAGCAAATTAGAAATGTTTGGGATTGATGGGTCCTTGGCAGCATGGATTAAAAGTTGGCTAAAAGGTAGGAAATGGAGGTTAGATATGGATGGCTCTTCTCAGATGGGTTTGAATTGAAAGCGTTTTTCCCAGGGACCAGTGTTGGGGCTCTTGCATTTTTCTAATTTATATAAACAATTTGGAGATAGATGTTGAAGGCAAAACCTCTACACTTGCAGAAGATACTAAGCTAGGGAGAATAGTGAATTGTGAGGATGAGGCCGAGTGACTACAAAGGGACATTGACAAAATGGCCAAAAGGCAGACTCCTGGCAGATGAATTTCAATGCAGAGAAATGTGAGGTAGTGCATTTTGGAAGAAGAAATATGGAGTCAATACAGACACAATGGTACAACTTTGAAGGAGTACAGGAGCAGAGGGACATTAGGGTTCATGTGCATGATTCTCTAAAGATGGCCAGGAAATTTGAAATAGTTCGTAAGAAGGCTTATAGGCTCTGTGTGTTTGTAAATAGGAGCATACAGTATAAAAACAAGGAAGTGATGTTATATCTTTACAAACAATTGGTCAAACCACATTTAGAGTATTGTGTTTAGTTCTGAGCACCTAATTTAAAGGACAAATATTAAAACCCTGGAGAACGTGCAAAGGCAATTTACTAGAATGATGCCAGGAATGAGGGTATTTAGATACACAGAAAGATTAGGGAAATTGAGCTTATTCTCCTTAGAGCAGAGAAAGTTTAGAAGTGACCTTATTGAGCTGTTCATAATTTTGAACAATTATGACACTGTGAAGAAGGATATTTCATTTCCACTGATTGATATGTCAGTAACTAGGGGGTCATAATTTCAAGATTGTCAGCACGAGAGCTAGCAGTGAAATGAGGAGAAACTTCTTTACTCAGAAAGTTGTTACGATTCGAAATATGGTGCCTGGCAGAGTGGTGGAGGCAGATTCCACCTCATCCAAGACTTTCAATTCCCTTGCCCCTCACACCTCATCTTCACCATAGACATCCAGTTCCTATACACTTGTATCCCCCATGCAGATGGCCTAAAAGCCCCCTGCTTCTTCCTCTCCCGCAGGCCCAACCAGTGCCCCTTCACTGACACCCTCATCTGCTTAACGGAACTTGTCTTTACCCTCAACACTTTTCCTTCAACTCCTCCCACATCCTACAAACTAAAGGTGTGGCTATAGGCACCTGTATGGGTCCGAGCTATGCCTGCCTCTTCGTAGGATACATGGAACAGTCCCTCTTCCACTGTTACACTGGCACCATCCCTCACCTCTTTCTCTGCTACATTGATGACCGTATTCGCGCTGTCTTGTGCTCCTATGAGGAGCTTGAACAGTTCACCAACTTTACCAATACCTTTCACCCCAACCTCAAATTCACCTGGACCATCTCCGATACCTCCCTCCCCTTCCTGTACATCTCTGTCTCCATCTCCAGTAACCGTCTCAGCACCAACATCCATTTCAAACTCACCGACTCCCATAGCTACCCTGACTACACCTCTTCTCACCCACCCTCCTGCAAGAATGTGATCCCTTACTCCCAATTCCTCCGCCTCTGCCGCATCTGCTCCCAAGATGGAACATTGAACTCCCTGACATCCCAGATGTCCTCCTATTTCAAGGTCCGCAACCTCCCCCCTCCATTGATCCATAATGCCCTCTACCCCATCTCTTGCATTTCCGACACTTCTGCCCTCAAACCCCCTCCCCCAACAAAAATAAGGACAGAGTCTCCCTGGTCCTCACATACCACCCCACCAACCTCCGCATCCAGCACATCGTTCTCCGCCACTTCTGCCACCTACAATCCAACCCCACCACCAAAGAGATATTTCCCTCCCCACCCCTATCCGCCTTTTGTAGGGACCGCTCACTCTGCAACTTCCTCTTCCGCTCCACATTCCCCATCAACCCCACTGGCTCCACCACACCCGGCACCTTTCCCTGCAACCGCAGGAGATGCTACACCTGCCCCTACACCTCACCCCTCACCTCCATTCAAGGCTCAAGACAAACTTTCCAAATCCGACCGTGGGTTCACCTGTACACCCTCCAACCTGGTCTACTATATCTGTTGCTCCCGATGTGGTCTCCTGTACATTGGTGAGACTAAGTTCAGACTTGGGGACTGATTCGCGGAACATCTGTGCTCTGTATGCTATAATCAACAACACCTTTCGGTTGCCAGCCATTTCAACTTCTCCTCCCACTCCCTTGCCGACATGTCCACCCTGGGCCTCCTTGAGGGCAATGAAGCCACAGGCAAACTGGAGGAACAACATCTCATATTCCATCTTGGGAGCCTACAACCCGATGGCCTGAACATAGAATTCACCAGTTTCAAAATCTCCCCACCCCTGGCCTCATCCCATGTGCAACCCTCCCTCTCATCCTCACCTCCTTTACCTGAGACGACCTGTCCACCTTCTTTCCCACCTATCCGCCCACCCCTCCCACTGACCAATCCCCACTACCCCCTACCTGTATCCACCTATCACCATCCGACCTGCCTTCCCCCAGCCCCACCCCTCCTCTCTCTATTTATTTCCCAGATCCCTTTCCCCTCCTGATGAAGGGTCCTGACTTGAAATGTCAACTTTCCTGCTCCTCTGATGCTGCCTGACTGCTGTGTTCCTCCAGCTCCACACTATATTGAGGTGAATTCAATATGACCTTTCAAAAGAGAGTTGGATATGTATTTAAAAATGATGAATTTAGAAGGCTGAGGAGAATAGGACAAGCTAGGTAGCTCTTCCAGGAGTCTGGTACAGACATGATGGGTCAAATGACCTCATTCTGTACTGTAAAAACAATGAATTCTATGAATCTATAAGTAATGGAACCATTACCCATTTTGCAACATCAAAGTTTGTACTCTGTAAATGTCAATCTACAAAATATTTAATCTATCTGAAATTCTTTTGTCTGCAGTTATTTGTTGAAGAAGATTTAAAGGAAAAAAGCATTTTATTTAAGAATGCACATCATAATTTCAATGCCACAATGTTAACATGAATTAAGATAAAATGCAAAGTAAGGATTGAAAGCCCTAAACTGGAAGAGATTAGAGAAGTAGAATTCTAATGAGAGGTGGAGATAAGAATTTGGGCTAGATCTGCTGAGGTTCTACTCTGAGTTTGAAGTGCCATGTGAATTTCAGTGATGGAAAGGCACATTTTCTGCCTGTCTCCACATCGGAGTTTCTGAGCTACTGTCCAAATTTTGCCTATTTCCCCCATTTTAAATTGTGATTGGGATTTTTGTTGATTTACAAAGAGAACTTCTTTGGAATATGACTTCTTTTTCACCAAGCCATGTTGGCTTTGCCTGATTACTGTCATTTTTGAAGTACAAAGAACAAAGAAAATTACAGCACGGGAACAGGCCCTTTGGCCCCCCCCAAGCCTCCACCGACATGCTGCCCGTCACAAGTAAAACACCCTACCCTTCCGGGGACCGTATCCCTCTATTCCCATCCTATTCATGTATTTGTCAAGACGCCCTTTAAAAGTCACTATCCTATCTGCTTCCACTACCTCCCCTGTTGACCTTGCTTAGACATCAAAAATCGATCCCAGTGGTGGACAGTTATGTTTAATTAAATGCCCTGTGGCTGCTTTAAGAGCTAAAAAAAATGACTTCTATTTTCTCTTAGACTAGCAGAATGGTTATGGGGTGCACTGCCATCTGCTGGTAGACTAGTAAAACTGCCTTAGTGCCTTTACAGAAAAAGATACCTGCCTAGGTCAAATTAATAATCTTATCTGCATAATTTGAGATATGATATGTGGCTTTATGTGCAGAAACACACACAGATGTCTTGCTGTGCTGCACTAGTGTTACCACAGCAAAACTCCAGACTTTCAGTTTCTAAAGTTCTAACCACAGTGGGCTAACAGAAACCCTAATCACAACTGCAGAAGAATATTTTCCATTACATCAGTATGAATTCCTTCATTTATGGCTCCAGTTGCTGTTGTATATGTGTTATGAAAAAATTGTACTTTGAGTCTATGTCCATGCAGTGCAATGTTTAAAGTCCCCAAACTTAGTCAACAGCTTAAATTTAAATTTTGCTTCCAAAAGTGAAAGGACAATGTACTGAACTCCTTCACTTGTAAACAACTTTGTTAATGTACTTCATACTATTTAAAAATGTAAGAATCCTATGCATGGTTTGAGATTTCAGGTGAGACTCAGAACTGCTGTGCAATTCAAAGAATAGTAAAACAGACAAAGGTTGATTCATGTATAAACATAATTCGGCTATTCAGCACCTTGAGCTTGTTCCAACAATGAGTTACATTGTGACTGATTAATACCTTGGGTGGAATCTTGTCTTTTTAAGACAAAGTGTGGCTTTGAGCCTAAAAGTAGGAGGTCCTTGCATTCACAGCTGGATTGGACTGCGTGATGAAGGTATATTTCATTATCATTTTGGGAATTTGGATTTTAAAGTTGAGGTAAATAGGTTTTCGGTTTTAGTTCTGTGAAGATTCCTTTTTTTAAAGAAGTCAGAAAGTTATCTCTGAACAGTGAATTCAAATGTGATTTCCAAGAAAGCATGCGACTGAAGCTAATTTTTAAAAATTCATTCATGGTACGTGTTTATTGCTGACTAGGCCAGTATTTTTTGTCTATCCCTAAGTGTCCAGAGGGCAGTTAAAAGTGAACCATATTGCTGTGAGTTTGGAGTCACGTGTAGGCCAGATTAGGTAAGAATACCAGATTTCCAGCTCTAAAGTATATTATTAAATTAGGTGGGTTTGTTTTTACAACAACTGGCAATGTTACATCATCATCAGAAAGCTGACCTTTGAAAAAACGTA